CCACCACCATCAGGATTAGCATCAACATCACAATCACTGTTACTGCCACCACCACAATCACAATCATCATCACCTTCACCACTACCCCCACCATCACCATCATCATCACCTTTACCACTACCCCCACCATCACCATCATCATAACCTTCACCACTACCTCCACCATCACCATCAGCATTACCTTCACCACCACTACAACAATCACAATCATCATCACCTCTACCACCATCACGATTATCATCACCATCAAAATCACCGTTACTGCCACCACCACAATCACAGTCATCATCATCTTCGCCTTTATCCCCACCATCATCATCAGCATCACCTCCACCACCATCACCATCAGCATCACCTCCGCCATTACCATCAGAGTCACTCATTACCACCGATCACCAGGACCACGAATTACCAAAAATTTTTATTGATTTTCATTTTAGGATTGGACCTTTTATACGATTTGAAATCTTTGCCACGATATTGTGACACAGTACATTTAGTAGAATGTCCATGTTTGTTCGGGATATCAAGAAAAAGAATTTCCTATAAGGAAAACATAGAAATGCAAAATAAATGGAGAAACGTACAAATACAAATTGTGAGTTTTTTACAATAAAAATGACGTCACACTCGTTTTTTTCCCCCCGTTAAATGTAATGTTTTTTTTTACCCCCTCGTTAATAATGTCATTTTTTTTGTTTTTTTTTGAATTAAGGCCAACGACGAGAGGTACAAAAAGAAAAATGATTTTTCCGTCGTCACGCAAACATTTGCATTAAAATTAGATTTTCCAAAAATAAGACAAGATGTTGCCGACGCATCGTACCTTTCTCCAGACTGTTTTCATTTGAGTCAAAAAGGAAACGCTAGAAGTATTTACAATTTTTTTTTTCTCTCATTATTAAAATGTAAAAGTCGTTATTTAAATTCAAGGTTTCATACCTGAAAGTGTGCGCCGGTAGTAACGTTACTTACTCCCGGTGTTTTACTCCTGGAAAAAAATTCTTTTTTTTTTATCCTTATCACTCGCCAACAAATAATTTAATCATAATTCATTCGGCTTAATTTTTTTTTTTTTGTAAAACAGGTATATCAAGGTACGATAAAAATATTATCCTAATCGCGTTCCGTCTTCCTTCTACCTCTTATCCACAAAAACGATCTTTGAACTTGAATTTTTTTTAATAAGCCTCATCAGTAATTCGCGAATCATTGCCAACAATTGAAAATTAAAAAATTTTTTTTTTTTTGTTGGTAGTTGCCAACGCCATTTGGACAACATGTTGGAACCTGTCGGAAACAAATCGATTAATTGGAGAGATACATTCACGAGATTTTTATGTCCGACAGAAAAACATCCCTACATATTCACATATAAAAACAGTTTAACGTGACGTCATCATTTCGTCATCGCGACAAAAACGCTCCCCCCTCTCCGCCATATTAACCGGAAACGTGGTAGTGCTATAAATATAGCGAAGGTAATGTAATATAGTTTAACGTACGGTTTATTTAGAAAATTAAAAAACGATGGCCGCCATCTTTGTTTTTTTTTGAAAAACCGTTATTTTTTATTCTATGATACTCCTACTGCTACGCGCTCGACAAATTAATAATTATAATTTATTATTTTTATCATTATTGTAAATAATGTGTTAGGATTAATAAATAAATAAATAATTTTGTAAACAGTTCTTTTATTTATTTTTTATTTTTATACATAAATTATTTAATAAATTTATTTACAATTACATAAAAAGCTAATCGACTACGAATAACTAACGAGACAATATGACAAAAATTTTAAATAACATTAACGTGTCAATAGAGAATATTTGAAATTTTATTATTATAATTAAATTTATATAAATTTATGTATAATATAATATAATGTGATTTAAATTTTTACAAAAGGCAAGAAAAATAATTATTACAAAAAATAAATAAATTTAAATTTAATTTTTGTTTCGATATATCGATTTATCGATCGATCTATCGTTTTTTCTTTTCGATTCGCGAATTAAAATTTTAATGATTTTTATATATTAAACAAAAAAAAAATATTTTTTAATGAGAGTGAAAAAAAATGAAGGAGAGAGAGGGAGAGAGAGGGAGAGAGAGAGAGAGTTTCATTTCCAAGTTATTGTAATTAATTAAACCGATAATATTTTTTATCGTGTCATTAGTGGGGAGGGGAAAAAACTTCTTTTAACGGTTTTTTTTTTAAACATTCAATGAGGATAAAATTATTGTAAATTTATTCGCGTGAAAAAAAAAAACAGGATAATAATAATATATATTTCGATCGTAATTTTTATTATTAAGAAAAAATATTTAAACTTATTTAAAATTCTAAACGTGTTCTTCTTTCGTCCTCGGGTTTTATCATCATCTCCTCATTCTTTTTAGTATTTCCTGAAAATCTATTTTATTAAATAATTTAATAAGAATAAACATATTTAAAATATTTTAAAAACGTTCTTCGAAAACGTTCGTGTTGAAAATGAATGAAATTTTATTTATTTATTTTTTTTTTGGAAGATTTTCATGGAAGAATGACTAATATTCATTATTTGTTATGTATGATACATAAATGCGATTAATTTTATTTTATTAAATTAATGTTGATGTAGGAGTAAAAAAAAAACATTTTGTTTTCCATTTATGATTATAAAAAAAATTATTAGTAATAATAAATGTATGTCGAAATTATTAATAATAATTCATATAAAATAATTATTTCTCTTTAAATGTATATAATAATAATAATAATAATAATAATAAATTATTTCATATTTTGCAGAAAAAACGAAAAAAAACGATCGAAAATATCATCAAATACGTTTAAAATTTGTTTTCAAGTCCGCCATTTTTATTCGTCAAGCAGAATACAAAACAAATTGAAACGTTTTCAATGCGTCAGCCAATCAGAGAACGCGATTCCGACAACATGTTGTTTAACGTCGTGACGTCATTAGTTTCAACGAGTCAGCTTGACAAACGGTTACTTTTTCGAATGGATTCGTTACAGGTAAGAATTTTTTTTTATTTTTACTTTTTAAACGTGATATTTTTGCCTAAACGATTAAATTTTACTAATAATTTATGAAAAACAATTAGAATAATATTTATATATATAAATATAAATATAAATCACAGTTATTTTTAAAAAAACATTTTAAGATAATAAACCATATATATATTAAAATAATATCAACTTAATGAAATAATAAAAAGAATTTTATTATTATTATTATCATTATTAATAATCGGTTTTCAATTTATTAATTTTACACCATAAATTAAACAATAACAATATATAATAATATAAGTAAGTAAATAAGTATCAATATGAAATGTATAACAAAATAAAATAATAATAATAATAGAAATAAATTGAAAAAAAAAAGTTGCAACTGTAATATAGACTTCGTTTAAACGCCATCTTGTTGATTCACATTAATAATAATAATAATAATTTTTATTAACTTATTAAGTTATCAAATATGAAAAAAAAAAAAACAAAAAATTCGTTGTGAATTATAATAATTTTATTCAAATTTTGAAATTAATTTATTATGTTTGCATATATATTTAACAAAAAGAAGAAGAAAATAATAATAATAATAAACAATCAGGCTTTTCCTTTAAATAATTATCATTATCATTTTCATTAAAAATAATAAAATGGAAAAATAAAGAGAACTTAAAAATTATAGTAATAGTAATGACAATGATTGAAATTTTCTTTCTATTATTATTATTATTATTATTATTATTATTAATACAAAACATTACATTCTTTGAAACAAACATAAACAAACACATAAGACAACAACATAAAAACAAAATCCCAATTGACAACCAATAATAATAATAATAATTAAAATAATATTAAAAAAAAAAAAAATTATAAATGACAACCATTTTAAAATAAAAAGGAATGTGTTAACATAAATGAAATTAAAACAATAACATAACCAATAACCATTAAATAAATAAATAAATAAACAATAATAATAATAATAATAATTAATAATCAAATTAATAACAACAATTTTAACATCATAATAATAATGATATTTATAACTCTTTCTTTTTTCTCCCCCTTGTTTCAATTAAAATAATTATTTATACATATATGCACGTTTATTTATATACATAAATAAATAAATAAATATTTTATGTACCTGTTGTACTCTTTAATAATAATAATAATAATAATAATATGTTTAACATCATTTTAAGGCGTTTTGTTGTTTCTACTGCCGTACATTGTCATCGTCAACATTTATTTATTTATTTATTTTTAAACTAAATAAAAATAATTATTAATCGACATAGAATGTCATTTAATAGATATGTATCGATTGATGTTATTAGCAAATCCCTTAATTTTTTTACATAAAATCATAATAATAATAATAATAATGATGATGATGATGAATTTATTTTTTTTTTTAAAATAAATTTTTATATATTACATTGAAATTATTATTAATTTTATTACTTTATGATTATTTTTTTTATTAATAATAATAACAATAATAATAATAGTAATTATGACACGTGACTTATAGAAAACGTAATTAATTTTTTACAGTGATAATAATAATATTAATAATGATGGTGATTGTGGAGACGATGATTGTATAGAACATTTTTTATTATTATTATTTTTTTATAATTTATTAATTTCAATAAAAACGAATATTATATAACGAATAATAATTTTTTTTATATAATGATAATGATGATAATGATAATGATATTAAAATTTATTTATAACGCATAGAAAAAATAAATTATGCCAACAGTCTTTACACCAAAAAATAAAAAATAAAAATAAATAAATAAAAATTTATGTATATATATATATATATACGCATATATAAAATAAAACGAATGATAATAATTAAGTACAAACTTTTTATTTATTTATTTATTTATGTACATAACATTAATATATATATATATATTTATTTATCTTATTATCAATTACAACGAATAAAAAATATTTTTAAAAACATAAACATAAATAACGCATTCAATGATTGATTGATTGTTATTAATTTTCACATTTTAAAACTTCATAATTTATTAATATATATATATATATATATATATATATATTTATATGATAATAATAATGATAATGATAATAATATTATTATTTAATTTTCTTTTGCATGCAAAACGTTTATTTAAAATTTATTTCATTTATTCATTTATTTATATTATCGTTTTATTATTATTATTATTATTATTTACATTTAATGAAACGAAACGTTATCGATAATATATATAGTATATATGCGTAGAAATAGTATATCCACAATAATAATAATAATAATTAAAAGGCATAAAAAGAGAAAATAGTTTTTTTAGAAATTTATTTATTTATATATATATATATATATATATATAAATATTCAAATATGAACAAAGAATGAATGTATAATCTTTATTAATAATAATAATAGTAATGCATATTGAATTTTATTTTTATGTATATATGTATATATATTTTAATTATTTAAATGTGTGTGTGTGTGTAATAATAATGATGATGATGATGATAAGTTTTTTTTTCTTATTTAATTATATTAAACATGTTAATTATTTATTACGTTCGTGTAATTAAAACGAGAAGAGAAAGATAGATAGATAGATGAATAGAGAGAGAGAGAGAGAGAGAGAAGAATAAAATTTTTTCCATTAGGTACGCATAAAAATTTCGATAATAATAATAATAATAATAATTTTTTAATTAAAAAAAAAATTTTTCTCGAACATTTTTTAAAAATAATTCAATGATAAAAAACGAATAAATGTTATTTTCGTTTGTCTTATCGCATTTTCCGGGGGGAAGAAGGGGGGAGGAGGAGGAGGGGGGACTCTGATTTGAATCCGTCCTCACGCTTCTTATCAGTGTCATCAATGTCATGGTTGTTAATAAATCATAATAATAATAATAATAATAATAATGAATCCATCATTTCAATTAAAATTTTCACGACTTTCACGATTGCCAACTTATTAAATTAAAAAAAAAAATCAATAATTAAATTTTTTAAAACCATAATTAATAAAAATATGTTATAATGTTAATATTATCATTATTATTTCGTAATATTATCAAAATAAATAAATAAATAAATTAATTAATTAATTAAAATTTTGTATTCCTAATGGACTTTAACGATTGTAAATTTTTTTTTTTTTTTTTAAACAAATTTTATTCATTTATTTCGTTGTTTACTTAATAAATTTTCCCTCTAAACATTAATATAAACCGAAAGAGAAAGAGAAAGATAGAGATAAAGAAAGAGATAGAAAGAGATAGAGAGATTGAAATTCATCAAAGTTATTATTGATTAATAAATGAATAAATAAAAGATTTCAATTATTACTTATTTATTTATTTATTTTTTCAGGAGGAGGAAAATTGAAAAAATAAATCGTGGTGTGCGATTGGAAGACGAAAATCGGGTTTTTCACTCACGCGTGACAGAAGAAAATTCTTTCGGAAAAGGAACGAACAGGTATGGAAAATAAAAATTAAAAAATTATTTTTTACGCCCGCGTATTTATAATTGTGCAAAAAAATTGGGAAAAATGAAGTATGACGTCATCCTCGTCTTCGTTCCTTTTCTTTCCTTTGTAAAAATGGAAGAAAATTTTTTTTTTTTTTTTTTAAATTTAAATTACACATCGAATGAATTTACAATACATATAGACTGTGTTTGTTTGTTTGTTTGTATGTTTGTTGGTTATAATTGTGATGATTAATTTCCATCCGAGTTTGTCGTCGTCGTCGTGTTTCTCGTCGTAGGTTGCGGACTCCTCCCACCTCCGGAACTTGAATTCAGTGCCATTCTTTGCATTTGCCTTATCACGGTAGCCGCGTGATAAGCTTGTTTCCATCTCGATTTTGCAAAATTTTTTTTCAATTGTTCCGAAACGGTTCCGTGTATGTTACGGTTGCTTGCTGCGTTTCCTGATATCCACGGATGTGCCAACGCTTGCTTGCACGTGTACCTCTGGAATTACAAATGAAAAAAAAATAAAAAACAAATCCCCCTCGCCGATAAAATCCCTCCGGATTAGTATATTCTTTCGAAACGATGGGATTCACGTTGTTCGTTTGTTTGTTTGTTTGTTTGTTTACCTTTTCGACGTCGACGCACATTAAATTTCTAATAAAATCCTTTGCCGAATCACTTATTTCATCCCAATACGGTGAATCGAATTCGAATTCTCCTTTGAGTATCTGAGCGAAAAGATTGGCATCGTTTTCATCGTAAAATGGTGGGTACCCGCATAGTAATATGTAAGATATGACACCTAATGACCAAACGTCGACGGCTTTACCGTAGGGTTTCTGTGCTAGGACTTCCGGAGCGACGTACCTGCCGAAAAAAAAAAAAAAAAAGAAAAATTTTTTAATCGATCATATCTCGACTACCGCACACGGTAGTAGGACAATTCGATTGTTTGTTTGTTTGTTTTTCAAAAATTGAACGCATCTCCTCATCCTCATCCTCCTCCTTCTTTTTCCAGCCGGATGTGCCCCACGTAGGAGGGGAGGGGGGAATCCCATTAAATTTATTTAAATCCCCGGAACCGAAGAGTGACGTAAATCGAAGAGCAAAATAAACTGAAATATAATATTTTTTTTTTTTTTCTTTTCCCAATTACAGATTTAAATTCGATTCCTCTTTTGGAAAAATCTCAAAAAATCAATTTGTTATTGCAACGAACGAACGAACGAGCGAACGAGCGAACGTTTTCTTCTCTCTCTCTCTTGTGAAAAATCTTTTAAGGATGCTGCGTATGGGGAACATCATAACATCACGCACCCGAAAACAAAAAATCAGGCGAAATCGGTGAGTCTTTTTTTAATTTTATTTTTTTTTCATTTTTCCCACGTTTTTCCCACGTGAGAAAGTGAGAGAGAATGAATTTTTAAGGTATCGAGGTACACAGGCATTTTCGGGCAGGTATACAACTGCATTCCTTTGAAATTATTTTCCAATTTTTCGATCGTGAGGTCAACGAGAAAGAAAAATTTAAAATCCTACCAAAAAATTTTCTTTTTGTGTTCGAAATAGATATTTTTTCACGCGATACGATAACTGGGTCACAGGTACGATACGGCACGCACGCACGCGCACACGCTCACGCACATTCGCGCACACACTCAATAATTAACTTTTATTACCTTAAGGAACGACACTCGAATTCGTTTTTTGAAAATGCAGGTTTATTATTATTATTATTATTATTATTATTATTCGATATATCGATTTTCTCTACTTGTTGTATCATTTTTTCAAGTGGTGATTCTTAAAAGGGTGACAACTTAGGAAAACTTGAGAGGTACGAAAGACAACCGCAAGCAGAAAACTTGACAAAAAAAAAAAAAAAAACAGCAACGAATGCGAAACGTGACGCGACGGGTATTTCTCGTTTTTCGATTTTTTTTTTTTGTTGGACTTTTTAAGTGAGTGCCCGACCCGTGAGGACAACATACACGCACGCACGCACACGCACACACGCACGCGGGTTACGCACCAAATTCGAAAAAAACCATCGAACCTTTTCAACAACCGCACATCCATCTCGATCGACATTTACGTCTTATCACATTTACAAACAAACAACGATCGTTTTTTTTTTTTTTTTTTTTTTTCTAATTCCACGCCCGCAGTAAACCGAATTATTATTATTATTATTACACCTCCTCTTTTCTCTCCCTCTCTCTCCCCTTTTCCATCTCGCTCTCTCACTCTTAAAATGTAAATAAAAAATTTTCATTTGTTTTAATTAAAAAAAAAAAAAAAAAAAAAAAATGGCGCTGCCGCATTGACTGAAATCTAGAAATTAAAAAAAATTAAAAAAAAAAAAAGTAATTGAAATTCATCGCAGATTTTAAACTCGTTCCCCCCCTCCGGCTCCCCACTTCCCCCTAACCTCCCCCCATTTCGATTTGAATCAAGTCTGATTGATACAGAATAGAATTACCAATACCTAACCTCCGAAAGGTTTGAGGCCTTATTTAAACAAACTCGTTTTTTCCCCCCATAACATTTCGTCTCATCGTGTGCGGTGAGGATTTAATTAATTATCATCGTTTTTTGTAATTACTAGTGATTTTCTCTCTCTCTCTCTCTCTCTTTTTGTTGTTGTTGTTGCTCTGGTTGTTGTTGTTGTTGTTGTTCGTGTGATTCACGACGATGTAATTTTTTTTTTAAACGAGTACTTTTCGCATTTTGATAAACCGCACGTTTTGTTTTGACTTTTTATTTAATTTCGTGCACGAATAATTTTCACATTATTATTATTATTATTATTAACATCGTGTTTCTTTGTGTCTGTCGAATGAGAAAGAAAGAAAGAGAAAGAGAAAGAGAGAGAGAGAGAGAGAAAAGTGCGTTGAAATCGTTTGACACGCAGCAGCAATCCCGCGACGTGTGTTTCCCGTTTGTTTAATTATCAAAATTAGAAATAATTACTATTATTATTATTATTATTTTTACTTAGTGTTAATTAACTCTCTCTCTCTCTCTCTCTCTCTCTCTCTCGTTATTATCATTCAAACTCGATTGGAATAATAATAATAATAGTAATATTAGACATGGAAGAAATAAGTAAATAAAGTGACGCGACAACAACCCACGTGTGCATGCGACAATCGAAAATTCACTTTTCGAAATTCAAACGTGTACAAAATAAAATGAGAAACTTAAAGCAGACGACAACGACGACGAAAAGGGAAAAAAAAGGAAGAAAAGAAAAGGGAAGGGAGGGAGGGGGGAAGGAAAATGGTGGGAAATGGAAAACTCGAGAAGTGTTTAAACGATACGAACGAACACGATCACAGTTCAGAAAAAAATTCGTTCTTCAAATTTTAAAACGTTCGATTTTCTCTCGTTTTTGCGGAAACGATTACAACGAACACACAAACAAACAAACAAACAAACAAACAAACAAAAAGAAAAAACCAAAACCATCGACGACGAGGAGAAAAAAAAAAAATGGAAAAACGTGCGTTTTGAGAATTTCCGCAATCCTACGCGTTGCGATACAACAACCGCATTTCCGGATAAACGGAAAAACGATTCGAATTTTCAAATCAAAATAAATAATGAGCGAAGGCGGGTTGACGGAAGGCGGGTGGGGGTTGATCTCTTTCGCGAAAATAAGAAATAAGAAACGTCTTCTCTTAAATACAAATAAATATGGCGTCGCGTATAACTAAACGGTTCCATCGTGAAATTGAATGTAGAAGCTTTAATTTCCCTTTTTTTTTTATTTTTTTAACTGTCAATTTTTATCTTAATCCAGATTTACTTGAAAAATAATTTTTCCTTCTTTTCTCTCATTCTCTCTCTTTCTCCTCATCTTCTCTTACAAGACTTCTCTCTCTTTGTCTCTCCTCTTCATTCTCCTCCTCCTCCTTCTCATCATCATCAACATCACCTCATCTCATCTCTTTTCTTCTTTCTCGCTTTACATTTTCAATTTTCCATATCGCGTTCTCTCGACTCTTCTTCCCCCCATAACTCCTCCTCTTCTCCTTCTCCCTCCCCTCCCCTTTTTGCCTTTTCTCATCTCTTTCATTTTGTCCATTAATCATTTTTGCTTACGTTCCACCGAAAAATTTATACCCTTTTTTTTCTCTTCCTTTCTTTTCGTCTATAAATCCTACAACTACTATTTACTTCATCTCTTCATTTATTTATTGCATATGATTAATTTATGATGACGTCATCGAACGAATAAAAAAAAAAAAATTTCAATATGGCGAAAAAATTCAAAGTCTTAATTATGCTTGAATGAGAGTGAGAGTGAGAGAGTGAGAGAGAGAGAGAGAGAGAGAGAGAGAGAGAGAGAGAGAGAGAGAGATTGTCGTTTCGACTTGATCATGGAAAATCTGTCTGCTTTCTGACACTTTTTCTAGTCGCCCCCTGGCATTAGGTCACTCCGATTTCCATCGCCACCGGTGACACCGACTCAACTAAATTGCTTCATTAAGAAAAAAAAAATCTATTTCAAATCGCTGACACCGATTATCGCGTTTCCATTCTATCCACACGCGCATTTTCACGACTTTTCACTCGTATACAATTATCATTTACATTTCCCCCCCTTTCGCTTTCCCCTCCCTTCCCCCCATCACCACCACCAGGCTCCCTAAAGGAAAAATTGCGTGCGTGCACACTTTCCTCAACAACGCCCACTCGAGACAACACTTGAAACGTAACGTTCCTGCTCCCCCCCTTTTTTTTTCTTTTTCAACGTCCGAACATTTCTCCCCTCCTCCCCCGTAAAAAAAAAAAAATTTATTTCTCCCCTCGGGGAGACAGACAAACAAAAAAAAAAAAAATCGTATTTCTCTCGCTTTCGAATCATTTTCCGGAATTCGACAAAAAAAAAAACAAATAAATATTTTTCGGTAGTCGAACGAACGATAAACTCGAAATCGTATCATCATCATCATCATCATCATTCATCGATATATCGATCGATACATATCGAAATTTTTTTTTTTTTTCCCCCCAAATCCATTTTATAATATTTATTTGTCGCCGCCGAATTGTTTTTGACATTTAAGAGAAATAATAATAATAATTAATCAAAGTTTTTTTTTTTATTTCCGGAATAAATTAATTACGATTTTTTTTATAACGGAAAATTGATTTTTCAAATCGGAAAATCTTTTTTCCACGATCGGAAAAAAAAAAAAAAATCGATATACGATTCGATTTTTAAACGACTACGACGATGACGTCACTCGTTCGATCGCGACCGTAAAATAATTCGAAGATTTTTGACTGTTGCGTCACGCCGCGTGTGACGTACGTCAAAACCCGAAAAAACCGGAAATACGGTTGGTTGTAAGAACAAACAAAAAAAAAATTTTCATTTCATTTTCCTTCTCTCTCTCTCTCTCTCTCTCTCTCTCTCTCTCTCAAAAATCTTATCATCGTCGGATGACCGCAAATTCAACCGCGTCAGTTCTAAAACGTTGTGTTTGTTGTCGTTGTCGTTGTCGTCATGATTGTTCGACAAAATAAAAAATTAAAAAAAATTTTAAGACTCACCCAGGAGTTCCGCAAGCTGTCGCCATGATTCCAGAATCTTCCATTTTAGATAATCCGAAATCGCTTATCATTATTTTTGAATCCGGATGCTGCGAATAATATAATAAATTTTCCGGTTTCAAATCTCTGTGTATGACACCCTGTTCGTGCATGTAGTCCACGGCTTCCATGACTTGTCTTATCAAATCCGATGCGTCCTTTTCCGTGTACGAACCTGGATAAATAAATTTAAATCGATTGAGAAAAAAACCTTTTTGATGAATTAACGCACGCACGCACTCCCACGCACACACACACGTAACTCAAATAATAATCTCGTAGATTTTCCGAAACGCCATTTTTAATCTTTTTTTTCCCTTTTTTTATTACCTTCTTTACCTTTCATTAAAC